AACATCGACCAGACTACACAGCGCAACAACCCAGAAGACAGAAATCTTCATACTCATCGCCCTGATGACGGAGGCAGTATGACCTCTGAAACGTTGGTTAACATCGACCAGACTACACAGTGCAACAACCCAGAAGACAGAAATCTTAAAAAATTATGTAGTTCCACATTATGCAATTCTCCTCGGCCTCCTGTCACTTCATCCGTCTTGAGGACAAATATTCTCCTAAGCACCCTGTCCCCAAACACCGAGCAAAAGTATACTTTTCTATTTTTGTTAATCTAATGCGGTTTTAAAGGAGGACAGGAAGACAAAAGTTTCTGAATTGTATCGTAGTAAGCACACTCCAAATGTTACCAGCTTTTAATTCCGCGGTGAATGCAATTTTGACTTTACTGGGTTTCTCATACAATTAAAATCAGACATATTTTCGAAGAATTTTTTTTGTACTTCTATCATAAAATTTGAACTATGAATCAAAGTTAATAACTGTTTTCAAAACTGTATCGCCTAAAAAATTGGTACATAACGCAAAAGTAGGCTACGTGTTAAGAATAACATACACGCAATACAGGCTTACAAACTAAATACACAACTTTCCAGTAATACCTGATTCCCAGTACCGTTGGATATCCTAAACTAGATTCCAGAACGCCACCACGTGCGAAATGCACAGAAATACAATATCAGGTAATTAACAGGTCTTAATTATCGTTTTCCCAGAAATGAAAAGATGTACGAGATAAAAAAACATTTATGGGTCGATCAAAAAACCGGACCTAAGTGACCGAGGTTACACACGCAGCCTCAAGGTACAACCTCGTTGTATGTTAACTTCTCATTCTAAATATTTCATGAACATCCTTTGCGCAAGGGCGCAGATGACACTGTGACGGCGGAACAACGCAAAGCAAATCGAACAAAACGAGATCCAACATGGGCGTCGACACTGCGCCACTTGTCGACGTCAGCGCCTTACTGACCGAACTATGAACGAGACCCAGTACAGAATTATGTCACACTGGATGATGTATAGGGGTGAGCAAAATACAACCCGCCAAAATCCTAATTAGTATGCGGGGATGTTCAGATTTTTTATCAAAATTTTGCTTTCATGTACATACTATACAGGATCGTTGTAACTGCTAAAATAATATATTAAATACACTTTTTGACGGAAATACAATTGTACTTACTTCCATACAACTGGACGTGAGGAAAAAGAGTGTACTGCAGATTAGGCTTTGGTCTAATTGGAACTTAGGACGCAGTGTCCGATTTCCACTTCTCTCTCTTTTTTATTTTCTTAGTTCTAGACTTCATTCGTATTTTCTTTGTAAAATATAAATTTTAAATCCTGAAAACATTCTATGACTCGAAGGATGGATCATGGATCATCTATCGTCTTCAGGTGGGGTCGACAGAACGGGACTAGATCCCTCGGTCTACAGCACTACAGCATCCAACACTAGAAGGTGACCCTAGTTTTACCTGAAGACGAATGAAGATCCATTCTCCGAAGCAAAGTGATTCTTAAATTATTCGGATTTTGTTTACAACTGTACAAAAAAAACCCATTATGGATAAGTCCAAAACAAAGAATGTACTAATGTAATACCATGCCCATGGACATTCAAATAATAATACTGTTTTGTATATTTTTAGGTACAGAATTTGTTCCGCCCTTACAAATAATCGATCGAGATATGTAACCAACTTTTAACAACACAATTTTTCACTACAGCCTCATCGCCTAGGGGTCACTTCGAACGTCTCCTGACCAAACATGTTTGTCCACATTGTATCTAGAAGCTAACCGCTTAAGATAACGCTGATTTAAACTATCAATAACGTTTATCTTTAATCTTTAGCTGCAGCTATAATGCATGTTCAGTGAGTAGAATAACTGATAGAAAATATTTTTTTTTAAAATACACAATTTCTCTGTCGAACATACTCCACCAATCCCACCCGGTCTCGAATTAAAAATATCATCATCCTACCAGTGCATTGCCCTCATGGGACACTACAAGAAACAATATATCAGATTGATTACATAAATTTCCTTTATCATCGGCAAGGATAATTTATCTCAGACAATTTTCAGTAATGCGACCAATATTTCTTTAGTCTTCAGTTACCCATAATTCAAGGCGACTGAAACATCCATATGCAAATATTTTGGGTACTGGATCAGATGCCTGGTGAGTCAGGTAGAAGACAAAAATGAACACGTACGCATGTCTCGTAAAACCCTTCGGTAATGTAAAAGTCACCGGTCCGCACGGCGGGGTACGGCGTTAAACTAAAATGCAAAACACTGCATGCTCATGGAGCGTATAATTTTGGGCTACAACGCTTCCAGATCTTTAAATCGCTGGCAGTAATCTGAAAAGAGCCGTGACTACCACCAGATCTGTAAAGTCTCAGCAAGACAAAGAAACAGTGGGAAAAAAAAACCACTTCTAACTTGCATCGAAAGAGATGAACGCGTTCTTAAAAAAAATCGAAATGTTTCTTTGGTTCTCAATCTTTTTCGCTGGCGCACCACAAATTGTAATTTAACGCATTAAATGTACCACTAACCAAATGTTTTCAGGGAAAACTTATTTACGTTAATATTAACTTTTGATTTTCTTACTTAGTTCGCGTACCACTCAACATTTTCTCGCGTACCACAGGTTGATAAAGGCAGCCCTACGGCATTACAATATAACTTTCAGACTCATTACTTATTAAAAATCCCATCATTCCACAAAATATACACCTTTTTTAAAGACAATCACACTGCATATCTTAATGGCTTCTGAACTTAATTAAAATTGTCAATATTTTGAACTATTAATAATTTTTGAGAAACTCAGATTCCATTTGAGCTTTATGTAAAGCGAAACTAATTCAACCAAAAACTTTCCATGCAAATCCCAAACACCTACTTTTTTTTGGAAAGCGTTCATTCATTTCGAAGATGATATCTGCATACAGACTGAGAGATTGACAGACAACAGGTCCCACCACACACTCAATTCAAGCAAAAATACACGCGTAAGCTGCACAGGAAAAAGCCTTGCCTTACCTCCATCAGAGCTTGGGACAGGTTGTAGGTCTTCAAGTAGTGCGGGAGCCCTAATCTCTTAATCCTCTCGGATTTCGTAGTCAGAACTGTAGGTAAAGAAACCAAACAATGAGGTAAAGAAACCTACAATACACAAAATAAAAAAAATCAGGGGAGGTCAACTAAAGGAATATATACCACAAAGCTTAATTCACATTGCAACATTGATGGTAAAATCTCAATTTTCTTATACGTAAAAACAGAAAATATCTCCCAATATCATATTTAATCAATAGCAGACATATTTAATCCAGCAGAACAACTCTTCTGGCAAGACAATGTCATAATAATTAAATGAGCTTACAAGATTGCAAGTTACTTTCATACATTAAAATGATTAGCATTCAGTTATGCAAAACTTGCAAAATTAACTTTGTTGTTCCTGTACTATTCCTCATTTAGAACCTGGTTAAAAGAAGCCTTCAAAAACCAATACGTAGAATTACGATGCAGAAAGGATATTAACCTCTTACTTCAAACACTGAAAAATGAATGTGAATCAAATATAATATAAATTATATACTACACGTCCCTTATCAATCAAAATATCTGAGTGATTTGCTAATTTAAACAGCAACAAAAAGCAATACTCGTATATTTTTAGAAACAAAAATTTTTGTGCCAACTTTTTCACTACAGGTTGCCGCTCTCTTCAAAAGTTGATAATTTTTACTCAGCCATGAAATATATCCGTCTTGAATTGTGACTTGAAATAACAAGTAAAACTGGAAAACAGTACAATGGTCACTTACACTTATGCAGTCGAAGGAAAGCAGCAGTTAATCTCAAAATGCTTGTCTTGTCCATTTTCTTTGGAGAATTCGCTACAGTGGGCACCAGCAGCGCGAGGTTGCTGATGTGCGCGTTCATCTTGTCGCGTCGGTGTTTCTCCATCATGTTGCGATTCTGACGACTGTAACTGAAACAGACAACAGCTGTTGAGAACTCGTGTTAACGTGGAACAAGCGTTTCTTCTTCTCAGGGTTTTAATAAGCAGAGACTAAACAGTTTAAATGCAATAAGAAACTGATCACGAATGGCGACTGGGTAAATGATACGAAAACTCACCAAAACAAGATCCCTTAATGAACCACCCGATTTACAAGGTCAGTACATTCCTATCTGTAAGACTAAAAATAATGTTATCAACAATTTGAAGTTTTGATTAACACGTTATTCCTAAAATTATTCATTTTCAAGACTTTTTCCATCTTCTCTTCTTTAAAATCACGACGTTTCGGAGGCTGCTTCTGTCTCCGTCTTCAGATGAGAGGTATAATATTGTCCAGTGACAGAGACTAGCTCTATCTAAGGGGCCCAACAGAGTAGGTGCCTCTCATCTGAAGACGTAGACAGAACCAGCCTCCGAAACGTCGTGGATTTCAAGAACAGACGATGGAAAAAGTCCCGACAATCAACAATTTAAGTGTAAACTACCGTCGTCAAAATCCTTTAGAACTGAATGTTATTCCTACATAAGTTTATATGTGTATAGTAATCAGAGAAAAAAGTTATAGAATATATTTTCGTCGAAAATTAAGAAACACAACTTGGAGATCGGGAGAATTTTAAGTTGCTTTTCCGGATTTGCCATTTTAATCTCAGAATAGCTAGTTATTAAAGCTTTCCGTTAATACAAGAACAAATTTATATCAAAACTGTTTATGCGAATTTTAAAGTGCCAACATGACGACTGTTATAAAGAAGGCATTATGGAATCGCGTATCGCCTGAATAGCAGTCTTACGCTTTTCCATGACCGGAAACAAGTTATATGAGACGGGTTACGTACGTCCACTTACAGACTACAGAGATTAACTGAATGCGTGATATGATTTCCATAGATTACATGAGCGTGTGCTGTCAGCTAGTCAGGCTTGCTGGCACTAAATCGCATTATCAATACCTTCTTCGGACATAACAGCTCACTACAAAGGTCCAGCCAGACATGACACACATCCACCCCACCGCGCGCAACGAGAGAGTGTCGGCAGCACATCAAATTGTTTTACATTTCTGACCTCATACGGTACTAAAATTAAAACATTAGCAAATTACAAAAGTAAATTTATCTTCGAAAGCTATACCCGAACATAACCATGTACAAAGAAGCATGTACCGAAGGCATCATGCCAGAGGGGCGAATCAACAAAATGGATGATTTACGGGACACTAAATTCTTACGCTTATTTGCTTTGATAAATGTGCATTATTAGTGTTCATACGCCCAAATGTAACTGTCAGTATCACTGTGAAGAGCAGTATCAGCATTACGCCCTTCTGGCATGATGACATACATCCCACTGATTCACAATGAAACACCAAATATATCTGATTACGCTAATATGTTGATACGTTATTCTGTCATGACTCCCTCGACATTCTGAGTTCACACGCCACCAAGACGCAGAAACTCTGAGTTCAATTTATTATAACTTGTTGGGTCTGATAATCCTTGCACCACTACGTATCTCCATTGAATGAACATCAACACCAACGAGAAATGCAAAATGCATTTGGAAAATACACGTACTTCACTGAAGCCCACATTTACACTCTTGGCTATAAATAAGAAACAATTCCACTCTTTGCTTTGAATGTTTCCTGTGGTTGTTTTATCCTCGGACATTAGCAATTTATACTGCTGCAAAACTGCAACGAAGATATTTCTTCTTGTCCTTCAACACCCGGGACTGTCCTCCCGCTGAAATACAGCAATTCCTGCATTCACTGTCACTGTTACTGTGTACCTAAAAATTATGCCATTAAGACGAAGGGATAATTTGAAGGTAAACTCTACATATTCTTAACTATGACAGAAGCCCACTGTTGCCATTCCAGAGGAAACTGTACCTTAGATGTAATGGTAAACAGGAAAACCACGATCGTCCAACCTTTAGCCAGCCATTTTAACTGGCTCCCAAACCCGTCGACGCAATAAAGAGCACAATCACATTCCTAATTTTGTTAAAGCAGAAGTACTGCAACTGACGGGTGCTATGGCAACGAAATTATGCAACCTGACAAAACATGGGCTGCTCGTTTAAAAATAGATCCGTGCAAACAGCACATACATACTCACAGTGCATAGTTTATTGATCATGCACTATGGTTAGTCTCCACTGAACTTCAGAGATCTAGGAGAAACAATGGCTTGTTGCAGCGTGCGCCTGATAGAAAGGTCTAGACTACACACTAAGCACTCGTGCTGGAGAAGTTGCTGCACTATCACGGCGAACAAAACAATTCACCTTATGAAGATTTCTGTCTTCTGGGTTGTTGCGCTGTGTAGTATGTAAATATCTACCAGACTACACGGCGCAACAACCCAGAAGACAGAAATCTTCATACTCATCGCCCTGATGAAGGAGGCAGTATGACTTCTGAAACGTTGGTTAACATCGACCAGACTACACAGCGCAACAACCCAGAAGACAGAAGTCTTCATACTCATCGTCCTGATGACGGAGGCAGTATGACCTCTGAAACGTTGGTAAACATCGACCAGACTACACAGCGCAACAACCCAGAAGACAGAAATCTTCATACTCATCGCTGTGAAAACCTCAAATCATACAATTCACCTTATGCGATGTGATGAGTCCTGATACACTTATTAGGACTTATACGCGATGATTTAACGCGTCGGTATACAGTGCAAATATTTACCACACTTCAAGGTGGTTCATCCGAGAGGCCACAAGGACAATTACGCGTCATCGAACTATTTTATTCCAGAATGTGTGAAAAGAAAGGAATCTGAAAAGCGACAATAAAGAATAAATGGAAAAAAAATAATATGGATCAGCGTAACTTCTTCTGCCCTTAAGATGAAGGCAGTACGTTTCTTCGAAAAGCTGGATTCTGCCTACGGGTCTACACGGCGCCTAAGCACCAATAACCCAAAACACCAGCATCTTCCTCGCAGCAGTGAAAACCTTAAATCTCGTAAGAAATTCAACGATTGACCGGCAGACACAAAAATAGTAGTGGTAAGAACATATAGAGACCAGCTTACAAAACTCCCACGGACCAAAAACAAATGCAACAGGATGTGCGCCGTAAAACTTGGAGGCAGAAGAGAAAATGCGGAAAAACTGCAAGGCACCAATTCCGGCAGCAGTATGTAAGGAAGGAAGGAAGGAAGGAAGGAAGGAAATGTACGTACAGTGAAACAATCCTGGCGCACTGGCCAGCAATCTTCGCGAATGGCGCACATGACGTCACAGTTGTCTGGGTCAACAGCATTAGCGTGGACGAAGTGTCTCGAACCCGTCTGGTTGGATACCACAACTTGGTTGAGCGGATGACGTAGATTCCCCACACAGGGATTCCCCACGCCAACAAATAAGTCTTCAAAGTGAGCGTATGAGTTTCCCGCTTTTAACAAACACTAGAATGTGTCGACCAATAACAATAATAATAGTAACTGACAGACAGGCTAATGGAGGGAAATAAAGATAACAACATATTCACATGACGCCAAAAACTCAAGAAGGCAAATCCCATCCACACAACAGAAGCATCTATAGCAAATATCAAGCTACAACAAAAGTAACAACATACACAACCCCAGAGAAGACTACACGAAGCAAAAGTAAAAATAAGTATACTCTGTCCCAACACGTCTTCCTTCCACTGGGATCATGTCAAAGAACTCATTCCTATGTACAGAAACATCTGGCATCTAGAATTAACAAGGATGGTGTACAATGAGATAAAAATCAGGGATAACAGACACCCGCCTGACAGTACGTACATTCCAAAATAACTACACCCCATTAGAATGAAGACGCGGTGAATAATTTTACACACGCCGGGAACCAAACCCCGTCGTCCAGCCCAAAGCCTAATCGCTATTGTGACTGAGTCTACGCTTCCTAGTACATCTACAAATTACGAAGTTACTACATTCGATGGGAACAATACACGTTCAGCTGTCCAGCAGTTTAACAAGAACAATGTAATTTATCTCCCGAAGTTCTTCGGCCAACGGTCGGAACAAACCATCCGCACCCGTGTAAAAGTAAGCTCGTCTACCCCTGAAGATTTCTGTCTTCTGGTTTGTTTCGCCGTGTAGTCCGGTAGAAGTTTACCTAGGTTTCAGAGGTCCATGCTACCTCCATCATCAGGGCAATGAAAGTAGGATGGACCTCTGAAACGTTGGTGGACATCTACCAGACTACACGGCGCAACAACCCAGAAGACAGCAATCTTCAGACTCACCGCCGTGTAAACCTCAAACCCCACATTGTCTACCCCTGTTCAAGGACAATGCTGCCATGGTTACATCACGACACTGTGATAAGACTTGCTGACATAGCGGCTAAATTATTTGTCCGCTTTATACTGCAAACAAGGTTGCTATTTTCGCCGGAAATTGTGTTCTTTCTGAGAGAATTTAAATCATTATACGCTACAATAATTACTTATTATTTCAAAGTTTACCACATGAAAATATATAGAGCTAAGATAAATTAAGTGGACAACACCAAATATTACCTAACTATGCACTCTGTTCATAGAGGTGCCAAAGTTGTCCTGTGTTCTTAAGGTAATGAATACGGCGGGATATATTGGCCATGTACGTGGCATACAGACACAAGCAAAGCACAGAGCATTTTGATGGGTAAACGTTTTGGAAAACAGCCACTTGCACAAGCGAGGAAATATATTGCTAAAATGAGAGATCAATGGTTCTGTAATAAATCTTCCGAGTTCACCAACAGAAATTTCGCTGATATGGAGGAAAAACACACAGCGAATCTATAGTATTCAGAAAATCCGAATTCGATTCTAGACCAGAGACACTATTTTTGAGTCGCACTGCTTCCGAAAGCCACGGAAACTAAGGCAGTTGCTCTAAAACTGGCCATCGACTTCTTTAGTTCCGGTATCACAATACAGAGCGCGGTAACGC